TTGATGCTCAGCTGTATAACTCTTGTTTTCCTTTAAAGTCATTTGGGAGAAATCTGTAATATCCTTCCGTATAGTTCTATGTTTCACATATAGTGTAAGGCGAAGCAGGCAGATACAATCTAATTAATATCAACATTCATAATTACAATACTACATTATAAACATTGTTAGTTGAACTCCTGACTTTTCCTGCTGTAGAATGTGAAAGAAAGGGTAAGGCATCATCAGTAGTGTTTCTTACCCTCTGCATTGTTTTGTACTGTAGTAGTGTTTTGTAGTGCCTCCAAGAGGAAGAGGTTGAAATAGCATGTCCACAGTGTTAGTGATCTTTATGTGCAGCCTGTTTCTTTAAGCAGGGCATGTAGTAGACCCAGAGGGTTGGGCAGGCCGTAGTTCAGACTCAGTCATTGCAATTCAGACAACAGCTTCTTCATGTGGCTGGCTGAGCTTCCTAAGCTGATGCAGAAAGAACATCGTCTGGCCTGGCCAGGCCTTTAAATCATGTCACCTTAACTTTTATAATGTAAATTTATAAGGTATTTTTTACTCTTCTTAATTAATTTTTGTATTCAATTTATTTACGTTAATGTACTAACTCTGACATTTAAACAGATTGAACTTCCAACTTTTGGTCAACTGGCTAATAATGGAGTCTGGATACTGCAGGTACTCCATTAAAGACACTTTACATACACTGCTCCTTATTCCTAAAAGAATGTAGGTGGTGTATTATCAGTTAGTAAAGAAAAAAGTTGTCTATTTTTTAATCAGAATATTGTATTTTAGCGAAAGAGATACAACAATACTGAGGTAGAGCTTGTTAATATGATGTTTTATTGTTTAATTTAGTTTTTCTTCCTTGTCTCTGTAGAGATTGCGTAGAGATTGTGCATGTTTTTTTAAGATTGTTGAAGATGACTTCTTAAGTTTGTAGTGTCTAAATTGAAGTAAATAAAATTATAAAACAAGAAAAATACCTGTTTTCTTTAAAAGATTAATTGTGGCTTTTTATGCCTTTATTAGGGGAGAGAAGGGGGGGGGGGTAACCTGTGGGAAAGGAGCCACAGGTCGGATTCCACCTCGAGGACCACAGCCTGAGCTCACGGAGCATGGGAACTAACCACGAGGCCCCCGGCGACCCAGAAAAAAAGACTGTTTTACATGAAAGAGATACAAACGAGTGTTGAGTCTTGACATGTTTTAATCTGGATTATTTTTTGACCTGTTGAGATAAAGGATATGTATATTGTATATCATTAAGGTTAGTGAGTGTTGATCATCCAGCACTGTTCTACTTGTTCTCTGTTGTCCATGCAAAGTAGAGATAAACTAATTAAAGATGATGTCTGCTGGGACGCTGGTTTAGGTATGTGGTGAGAGTGAGCAAAACATGCAGTCCAAAAATGCAACGCCCCATGTTCCACTCTAACACTTGGCCCTTTTCTGCTTGTCCTCCCAAACACTCTCCTCCTCATCTTCTACCTCTCTTCAGCTGTGCTGTCAATAAAGGTGAAGTTCCCTGAAAAAAAAAACATATTTAATTTGAACAAAAAGAAAACATTTCTGCTTATTAAGTTAACAATAATCATAATGACAATATAAGGAGTAAATACAATAGGATTGATGGTGATAACAACAACAATGACAATAATGATAAAGACAACAATGTGGATAATACAGTATTAGTACTAATAACTTAATAATGCTTCTATAGGTAATAAACAGTAGTTTATCTGGTTTCTTCTCCCCTATACCCTCAATTCTTAATCAATTGTTATTATTTCATCACCATCATTCCTACTAAAATTAAATAGATATAAGTGAATAGATGATGAATAGGATATTATAATTATAATTATAAGTTATATGCAAGTGTTTATGGGTATTTATGGATTAGAGTATGATTGTTTGTTTTCATGGGCTGGGTGTGATTGGCAAGAAAAAAAAATAAATCAATAAAAAGGGTGATGCATGGGATGATAGTTGAGAATGACTGATGAGGTCAGGTTTGTGGAAAGTTAATGAGATGTGAGCAGACGGAGAGGGGATCTACTGCAGGGTCTTGGGTGGAGGTGGATATGGTTTCTATAGAGATATGTTCCATAAGTAAATGTTTCCATTGTGTAATGTTTGTGTTTTATTTTGATTTCCAGATCATGAGGATGGTTTTCTTGGTGATAGTCAGGGCTATGAGGAGTAATTTATTGTTTGATCTGGTCAACTTTGTTGTTGATGTATCACCGATTAAACAGATTGAAGAGGGAGTCGATATAAAACCTGCCCCCTCCCTTATTATTTTGTCCACCTAATGTCTGTGATACTTATTTTATAAACACTTGGGACCTCATGCCCTACTTGCTTGTATTTTATTTAATTTTTCAGCTGTTACCATGGGAGAATGCATTTAATGATTTATTTTTACCATACCTGGGTTGTGGGTGGGGGGGGGTGGGGTTAATGTGTTCGAGCGTGTTTGTTTTTCTGTCTGTCCTCTATATATATATATGTATAAAAAATGTCTTCAATAAAAATACCTTATAAAAAACAGTTTTTTTGTATTCCTGTTTGTATTTATATACCAAAATTGGTGAATACATGTGGGCGTGCAGTGCCAGCAAGCCTGCAGGTAAATGTACGGATTGTTTTGAGTGCAGTTAGTACAGGTTTCTGAGGTGAATCCCATTTTAAACATTTTCTGCCCTTTGAGGTGAGTTCTGTTAAGTGTCTTGTATTGTATTAGTTGTATATTTGCATTTTTGGACATCAGGTAAATGTTTCGGCACATTTGGGTCCAGAAGTCATGCCGACAGGGGGCAATTGACAGGTCTTATTGATGGAGGGAGATCGAGACTGATGGCTGTGATATTGAGTGTAGCTTGGATTGAGGATTTAAATTGAAAATATTCCAGAAATGTATTGCTCCTGATGCCGTACTCCTGGACCAAATGGGAGAATGAGACAAGTGTATTATTCTGGAAAACATGCTGTAAGTGGGTGATGCCTTTGTCTGTTTTTTTTTGTTGCTGAGGAAGTCCGGATTGTTCCAAATAGGGGTGAAATTAGATGGTGCTAGAGTGGAGTTTGTTTGTTGAAAACATCTAAATAATGTATCTTGTAAGAAGGTTCATTTAGGTCTGTTGGCTGGCTTTAGGGTGGAATGGAAATAAAAATGAAAGTCAGAGCAAAATCTTAATGAAAACACAGCAACCAAGATGTCTTTTCATGCATGCATTTAATAACTTTTCTAATCTTTTTGTTTATAAAATATGTACAGAATATTATGACAAAGGCCAACAGGCATGCTGACCTCTCCACAATATTCAACCATTCAACAAGCATCCACCCACACATCCAAACATACCACCATATCAATTATAAGAAAACACTTCCTGCTATGTTTCAGAGATGTTCTGTAGATTCTCTTTCTGCTGTTGTTTTTCAGAATGTGCAGTGTAAAAGCTGACATCAGCATGTATTCCCATTTAAATGTCCATTTGTTGCAGAAAAGATCATTAGCTTGTTTCCTTTGGTTATTTTCACTTGAAGACAGCCATACAGAATCCGGAAGACAACAGGAAGAAGGATGTCTTTAGGTGTGAAGTTTCTATCCTTAAGATACAGAGGAGACTTCTGTCTTGCTGGTAGAAACTGAGGTCTCATCCTCCACCATGCCACCCATGCCAATACTGCTTAGCATGCAGTTACGGAACTGAAGGGGATAAGACAGAGAGGTTTTAATTAGATAAGATTGCACTCTTTGTAAACAATCCTCCTGGGGTTGGCACAGGTTATAATCCATTTGAAGGAAACTCTTTGCCAGTTTGCATGCTTCTCCAGCAGGACACACAAACATCTGTGAAGCTTTTTAGTTCATCATTAAACCCCTGAACCTAAAGAATCATTAACAAATACAACAGCTCACTCTGAAACTTGAAATAGCTAACTAGGCCATTTTGTCAAATTTGTAAGCTTTATAGATGGGACATCAGTAGATTATTTTTTGCAGAAATAAATGTGTGTTAGTGTAGAACTGAACTGACCTGTTTGTTAAACAGCACATAGATAATAGGGTTAAACAGAGCTGAGCTCTTGGAGAAGAAGGCAGGGATAGCCATAGCTACAGCAGAGAAAGCTGCACCCTTGTTGAAGAAGATCCATGCAGCAAAGCTAGCATATGGTGTCCAGGCCACCAAGAAGCCCAAGACCATCAGGATGCACATACGTGTGACCTCCCTCTCAGCTTTCTGGGTGGATTCTGAGTCCTGCTGCTGAGCTGCAGCCTGAAATGTGTAGGACAGAAGATGAGTAGGAGGTTAGAAAGGCCTAAACCCAAGCAGTCAAATGCCAAGCATATCACAAAGTCTGTGTTGGAATTGAAAATTCTTCCTATGCTGTGTTGCTTAGCCCTGATCCCTCCAAAGAAACATTGGATCTGAAATGTGATTTTACTTTCCCAGTGTCTGTTTCATAATTTGGTAATGTCTATTTATCAGAGATTATACATCAATTATCTGAAAAAACTAGTTGGCAGTTTTGGCAGCTTAACGTGAAACAAGTAGTGGCTTTAAAACTGGGTAAACTTTCTGACATTTTGAAAATGCAAATAGTGCATGTTTAGAAATAAAGAAAACAACTATATTTTGAAATAGAAATGTAAGCAAGGTGACTTATAACATGCTTTTGTACTAAAAGACCTATCAGCAAATCAAAATTGGGAGGTTTCAATGGGATACTGTGGTACAGGTGAACATATCGTTTAATATAAAGTACAGTTAAGAATCAGACTTACAGCTTTGACTGTCAGCACAAGGCTTCCATAGGTAAAGAAGATTGTGCCAACTGGCAAACAGAAGTGACAGGTGAACATGTACATGACAAATGATTCATTGTTGAAGCCTGGAGCCATAGTGTAGTAGTCAGGTCCACAGGAGCACTGCAGACCCTCAGGGATGTACCTGTGTGAGAAGAGCAGAGAAAATACTTTAGTACTGTATCATCATTTAGCTCTGGGAAGGAGGCTGCTGCAGATGTTTGTCCACATATATGCTCATTTAACTTTTGTATCACCAGCACATGAACAACTATAAGAGAGTGGAAAATTCAGCACTTTTTGTTTTTACTAGTGAAAAAAACCTTTTAGCAACTTCCTTGATGTCCCTTTCATTCTTATATATTTCAATTCCTAATCTTTAAATATGGACATGCAACAAGCTGATTTCATCTGAGATTATATGGCAGCAGAATGTCAGGTGTTAACACCGGCTGTATTCACTCTGCAAACTGTGGCTACAGGTAAAGCTTTATATAAAGGAAGAAATGGCTCGCCCACTGTAGGGCTCCAATATTCCAGATAATCATATTCACCAGGATGGTGACGTTTGGAGTAGGTACAGCTTGAACACAAATGTGTGCTTTAGGTAACAAATGATTTACATGCTGTAAATGCAACTATCCACATAACACAGCATTTCATCTCTGTATGTAAGTCAAATTCTAAGGACAAACACCTTTCATTATTTTAAGTTCTACATCTGATTGACTAGTTTCCATAAGAATCTATGTACTTCTAAATAAGCACCGCTTTAGTCCAGACTCTTAATTGCAATTAAGTATTCCTAAACTCTGACATTGCTACTTTCACTTAAGAGAGGATACACAGGAAATATGTTTTGCACACAGATGCAATTACAGAAAGCCTTATCAGCCCATGTGTGTGTGTGCTTGAAAGAGTCTACTTATTACTATTTCAACTGGTTACTTTCTTGCTCTGCTATGTTTTGAATAGACTTTTTTTATAGATTCAAATTGCAAAACTCCTGTATCATCTCCTGCCAAGGTTAGGAAGAATTTCTTGAAGGAGAATGGATGTAAGACAGGAAAGACTATGATGGACTTAGTTATAAATTAAAAATTAAAAACTCAAGAATGATTTTGATTGTTGCCTGATTTATGTTTTTGTTCTGAATCTAACTAAAATGCAACCTTTTTACAAGGTTAACCACATTTTGGCTTCTTTATTAGAAAGATGCAGGAAACAGATGTTTGAATTACCTGGACCATCCAACCAGTGGGGGGACAGCGCAAGCCATAGCCATGACCCAGGTGAAAGCAACTCCAACTCCAGCATGGGTTCCAGAGAACTTGAAGCTTCCCATGGGTTTGCAGACAACAATGTATCTCTCAACAGCCAGGACCACCAATGACCAGAGAGCCACTTGACCTTTAGGATAAAGAGAGGAAAACCTTCTGGGTATAATTATAGATGAAATCTTGATTGTTACATGTTTCAGAGTGTCATGCATTGGATTTCTCAGGCTGTACTGTGAAATATAGATATTTTCTTTACAAAGGCAACAAACTGCAATAACACTGTTAAAAAGTTTCTATGTCCTACCTCCAAGAGTAGCCATGAATCCCTCAATGGCACAGCCCATTGTTCCAAAAATGAAGTAGCCGGAGATAGCAGTGACGAAGGTGATGGTGAAACCGAAGCAGACCATGATGAGTCCAGCCACAGCCAAGTTGACCAGGATGAAGTTGAGAGGTTGCCTGAGTTTCTTGTTCTGAGCTGTGACCATCAGTGTCAGGAAGTTGATGGGGAAGCCAGTGCAGATGAGGAAGAACATGTAGACGGCAAGCAGCTTGAACATCCATGGATCTGCCAAATAATACTGTGGATAATAGAAAGGACTCCTCACAAGCCCCGTCCTGTTGTTCAAGGGGATGTAGAAGTCCTTGCCCTCTGTGCCGTTCTCCATTTTAACCAATTAGGATTGAGATAGATTGAGTAGATTAAGGAGCAATGTTGACAGAGTCAAGGGTCTGCTCTCTAAACTGCTGTAAATATTGTCGCAATGGTTATATAGTCCCACAGTGCAGACCCCACAATGGATCAAGAAGATAAGCAAAGAGGATCTGCATGATAATCCAGCGCATTAACTGTGAGAGTTTAACCACCTTACACATGATTTTAAGAATGCGTTTGGTAACATGAACAGCATATGTTAGAGGAAGCAATAGTTTACCTAACCTTTTACAGAGGGGGATTTCTGTTTCCAAAAATATTAAGAAAAATAGTTGCTGTTTTTTTGCTTTTGCTGAGAAAATCTACTTCTATCTCAACAAGACAGAACATTGACTTTATCTCTGCAACTATATGAGATATCTCTGAAGAAGCAGAGTGAACTTAAGATCATTAAGCACATACATAATTTAAATTGAATAATTCACATTAAACAGCACAAAATGTAAACACCACTTAAGCACAATTAAAGGGAGACTCTGGCTGAAACATCTAACTTGATTATGACAGTATCCATTCAATTTGGCCTCAACTTACAAATTCCTAACAGGATTGCAGAGTGCAGGTTAGGTTGCAGCGTAAATCTGTGCTCCAGAAGCATTACTGTAGTAGAAGCATGGCTAGACGGACAAAGAGAGCGATAAACAGATAGATGTAGAGATGAACAGTTGCATTAATTTATTTTTTTCATGGTTTTATACTGGTACTTGTATACTGCTTCAATACTTCATCATTCAATATATGTTAATAAATCACAACTCTTCTTGTTCAGTTGTAACCAAGGAACAATGTCTTAGATGGGGGTGAAGTTCTGAGTTAGTCTTTTCATATTGGATTTATTTTTCTCTTTCACAGTTGTGTATCATCTGCATGCTGTTAGAAATAACTGGATTGCGGAATCATTTATAAAAACAGTCAAATTCATGCAGGTGCATGTAAATACGTAATATTTGTCACTCTTCTCAAAAGCTATTTTTTGGTTTCAGTTTCAGTATCGAAGCACCAAGGATTTTTAATAATTGTAATTTTGGGTATGCACACTACCTCTTCTTTTACCTGAGCCTAAGTATTGAACACAATATCGTGACCAAGGCTTTGCATGGTACACATGGAAAAAATAGATGCTACTATTGATTTTGTCAGATAGCTCAAACAAATAGTTTACCTTGGACACTTAGACCGTAGAGGATTCCAAATTGTTAAGCTGTGATGCGCAGTCTTCTACTTGTGTATGGAGAATAAGCAAACTCTATGTCTTCTCTTTAGCCTTTATCCGATGATTACTTAATTAGACGAGCAAAAACCTATTACCTTATTACACGCAGACCAATGGGATGGAAAACTTGCCACAGTTAAACGGAGCCAGACCAGGCTCTTGGGTGTTGTTTTAGTTAAAAGACACCAAGAGATCTAAAGGTCCCTTGTATGGAAAACCACATGGACACTAAAAGAGAGTTCTGATTGAAGGCTTATCATGCAGCTAAACAAGTTGATACCTATTTATTGAACTGTCACCTTTCATATTGGGTGAATACATGGTTTCACCCCAATTTTTTGTTTTATCTAACTTTATGTAAAGGCCGCAATTTTTTCTATTTGTTTGGCAATGGATTTATCAAATTAATAATTTTCTTTCATATGGTGCATTTTTGTTTTGTTAATTTAAATGACCTTTACCCTTCTTTAACACTGTTTGGCTCCATACTGAGTGCCTCATTTTGTTTGAACTTCATCTTAATTATATTTCTAGAGGCCAGTCTTTCCTGCGTTAATCCACTTATCAAATGGCAATTACTGTCTGCTGCTGCAGGTACTGTGGACAGGGCTTTTAAAGGGATACTTTGCATTAAGCTTTGTATCATTAAAAACCTGGTAGTATTTTTGAATGGTCGTGCATCCCGCCATTCATTTTCCCCTGAGAAGGGAAATCTTTGTATTTCTAAGTCTGAAAAGGAGCTTCCAGTGACGCAAAATGATGATTTTTGTGTCACTGGAAGCAGGACTGGTAGTGTCAGTGCTCTCACTGTTTGCCTATGGACACAGACAGAGTCTGTTTTCTGCCAAGAATTTCCAAGATCAATTCTGGAAGGAATTTCGGAATCAGTTGAGGAACAGGCCTTATGTGTTGAAGTAAATATGTCTGTAAATGTTTTTATTACTATGTTTGTACTGCTATATTGTATATTTTGGAGAAACTGTATCGTTTCTGATACTTCTGATACTTCGTTTCTGAAGTATTTCTGATTCTGAACTAGAGGACCTTAGATAGAGTGGCCTGCGGTGCTGTGCATTCTGGGTTTTGGTGTCTTTCATCAACATGAGCCAAAAAGACACTTTCTGCCTTTTCACAGCCAAGAAGGCACCAACTTCAACATTTCTTTCACATTTCTATTACATATATGACCCAATGTCAATACAGATTCAGGTTTCAACGGGTGAAGTATCCCTTTAATCAAAAAGACAAGTTGTTATAAATGCATTAGTGGCTTACAGAAACTCTAATTCAATTAAAATAACTAGATTACTGATTTAAGTGAGTCATTGTATCTTATCCGTTTGCAGCACGGCAACTCTTTGATGAGGAAACAAGCTTACTTAATTAAACATGTAACCATACCGCATTACACTAAAAGTTATATCACTAGAGTTAAATAACTTAAAGTCAAATCAGTCATGGAACTGATTGAACCACTTTCTTTCACCTTAATCCAATTGACTACTCTAATTTTGGTTCTCTGCAAACTACACAACTTACACTAGTGTCACATATTAACAACAGTTCCTCATGAGCTCTTAACTACCAAGGCATGTTATAATTGTGTATCTGTTTTTTTTTCCTTAAAAAATCTAGAGACAATAGGACAGTTTAATGATGCCTTTAAGAAAAAATGGTTATGTCATCTGTTCCTCCATATACATACATAACATGAACATTTTCACCTCCTGGTGAAGGCTACTTTAACAGAGACTGTTTAGGCCAAATACTTGCTGCCTTGAAACTCTTACCAGCTTAATGTTTTTTCCTGTTTAGCACTACATTACAGATTCAAAAGTTACATATTTGTTCTAATCAGTCAGGGCTTTTCCAGGTGCCCTGAAAACTGCTGTTATTAAACCACTTTAAAAGAAGTCCAACTTGAATGCCTCAAAAATACACAACCTTCAGTTTTCTACACACTTGTATATCTCATGACTACAGTCCCTTACACTACCTGAATAAGTGTGTTGAAGAAGTCAATGAGTGGATGTGCCAGAATTTCCTATAGCCTAAAGAAAATTTGTGAACTGATTGCCTTTGGCTAAAGAAGAAAGGTTAAAGGTCACAAAAAAGTATATCAGAAATCAAAGGATTGCCATCTAAAGAAGACACAAATGCCTTTATTTTTTGGAGACTTAATTAATGTAACGTTTTTTTCCGCAGATCTAACCAAAAAAATCCATCATACAGCTGCAGCTCATCCAGAACTCTGCTGCCAGAGTCCTCACCAACACCAAGAAAGTATACCACATTACACCAGTCGTCAGATCACTACACCGGCTTCCTTCCATATTTTAATGTGTGAATTTTTTTGATTAGAAGTGTGATAAACTTGACTTGCCTTACACAACGTGCTGCATGGAACACTCTACAAGTACACAAGGGTTTTCTATATTGAGGCAACACAACCAATTTCAAAATAAACCAATAGGAGTGTTGCTTGGAGACACTTCAAACTGGTAACCACAGATTCTCAATTTGATTATTTGGTCTATTTGAATGTGTTTGAAGCATTTCACAATTATTTCTTCAAAGTCAGAAATGTTCATGCTGTACACATTACAGTTGTCAATGACACTAAGACCACTTGTGTTTCTCAGTTAATCATATTTAAATATACAAGTTTTCAGATTTCTGAAAGAAGAGTTGTTTGAAGGGATTTAAGATAAAAAAAAAAATCTAAATATATTGATGATAAAATTCGTTTTTTTTAGTTTGCTTAAATGCAAAAAAGAAAAGAAAATGTATCTTGCAGGGAAACCCTGTATATGTAATCAAAAACTACATAAATATTTGAAAGTGTGTGATGTTGAATTATTATTGGACGACAATGGAAGTGTCTGAAAATCTTAACCGTTATTGTACTTGTAGGTATTAATGCCCTGTGGGTTCTAGGATATGAGATGATTAATTTATCATCAATCAATGTGCCATTCTGAGGACTTCAAAATGTAAGTGCTATTCAAGTTACAGGTGAACACAATGATTCTCATTAATTTGATAAAATTAAAGAAATAATTAATAAAATTGATTAAAATATATATTTTTATTAAAAATGGTTGTTAGGGTTTTTGGTGTGTATTTATAAAAAAATCAGTAAATCGTGTTAATTTTGATAACTCATTGTTGTTAAATTACATGTGGTTCAATGGGATCAAGCTTTAGCTGGTTTCTTTTGAAAGACTTCGTAGCCCACTGTAAACTAATTCATGAAAAGCTTATTTTGAGTTTTGTAGAGTTTGCTCACTAGTCAACATTTACAGATACATTTATTTACAATGCTAAGGTTGCTTATAAGTCAATCGACGAATATTTATGAGCTACATATGCAACTATCATCAATACAAAGACAAAATTAATACTACATTCATAATAAATGAATATAAATGTAACAAGCGTAATATTTAAAATGTATCCTTATTTTCTGTTTTAACTTTTATTTTTTATTTTTTAATTTCTAAAAAAAAAACACCAAACAGTTCTTAACCTAACCTGCATATCAAGATCATTTCTAAGTACTGTGGGTGGTTTGCCAGAGTGGTTAGTTTAAAGAAATGAAAGAAACTGTTTTATATTATAAGCTAATACCAAGCAAACTATGGTTCTGTTAATCAAACATTTCAAAAGCAGACATTAGATTAAGCCTGCACTATGTAGGCCTGATAGAAATATAACCATACAGTGTTTCCCCTACCATTATATTAGGGGGAACGCACTCCAGAACATTCAAACAGTTTATAGAAAGTGTAAATGAGACGCGAGTTTGAGGCCTGTGTGTATGTGGTTGTGTCTCACGGATGCACATGCAATGATAAAAAAAAGTTTGTAAGAACCATCAGAAAATACCCCCCCACCCCCGAGACACACTGCCATATATGGTAATGCCCTTAATGTCCAAACAGGAAACCATCTGTTACTCACAGCTGAAATAAGTATGCCAATTCCCACAAGCGGGATTTCCCATCCAAGGAGCTTGTGTTCATCTGCTTAGCTTCCAAAAACAGTCACTAGCAAGCTGTTAAACCGGAGGGGTTTGGCCCTTCTAATCTTCAATCCTCTCAAATTGGATTCACACCTTGTACGCAATTCAGAGGTGTTGAGCGGGTCGTCTGGGAGTCAGAACGCACGTTAGATCTCCTTCAATTTACGTCATCTTCAAATGTGATTACAGCAGACGCAGACCAGTTCCATAGGTCAAAGACCGCAGGTTGTCTCTGCAGGCAGGGATTTAGGTGAATCAGATTTGTATTCTTTATTTTATTCTATGCATTTTGATTTTGATGCATTAACCAACATTAGACTTAATTATTTTCTGTTCACATTGAACTCAGTGTGGAATACTTTAAGTTATTTGCACAGTAAACCATGCACATACCTGCACAGCTCCTCCATTGCACCTTTTGTACATTCTGTGTGTAAATTCTCATATATATATTTTTATATTGCTTTTTTATCCTATTCTATTTAACTTCCCTGTCAGGAGTAGTGCTATTTTATCGCTTCATACTATTTCTGTTCTATTTCTTTGTTTTTGTTAAAAAAACAGCAAATCAAATTCCTTCTTGTGTAAATTAACTACACTATAAAACAAATGACTGTTTTATGATAGGATGTTGCTTTTTTGTGGGGAAATGTGTTTTAAGACAACACTGCTTCAATAAACTATACGTCAATTGAAATGTAATGTTTATTAAAGAATGTATATCTTGTCATGCCTTCTTTGAGCAAACTGACTTATGTGTTTGTCCCTGTGTTAATTATTTTGATACCATGGTTAGTATTGACTGCATATCTTTGCTGTAGATAAATAGATAAAAAATAAGGACAATTATGTAATTAGATGAAGTAGATAAAGATACATGTTAAGATATAGTTAGAGGTAAATAGAGATAAAGACTTATTTAGAAATAGAGAGATTATGAGTTATAGATATATATCAAGATATAGAGAGAACAGCTTGATTAAGAGAAATAGCACCAGACAGATTTAAAGTATATACAAATATAGAAATATAGGTAGACAGGAGATGTGCATAGTTATAAATGTATAAATATCAGCTACTTTGGATGATATGCATATAGCTAAACAGGTGTAGATAGAAACAGATTTAGAAATAGATACACGTGAATTAGAAACAAAAATATATAGAAATAAATGAATTCAGAGAAAAAGATGGCAGAGCTGATTTATTACAGTAGATTATTTGATTCAACCAAAAGAAAGATATTGATACTATTTAACTTTGAAAGTGTATGCACATTCAGTGTATTTCACTGAATAATGAACAGGTTTTATTGAGTCATTAGTAACCTTTAATAATCTGATTTACAGATTTTGTTTTTCCATAGG